GGGGGGGGGGGGGGGGGGGGGGGGGTTCGCTCAGTGGAGATGTTGATTGCGCTGTGGAGCCGGACAGGCCGACGCTGGGCTCTCAATCGGAGGCGTCACGTGTCACAGCGGTATGAGAGCCCGAGAGGGTTCGAGAAGAGTAAGAATGGCGTGTAGGAGGAGGTTTGCAAGCCTCAAGGAGAGCTGGCGGGGGATGGGTCGAAGCGACACACAGGCAACACGGTGGATCTCAGACGACGACACTAGGGGCATGAGTGCGGATTTGGAAAGAGTTTACGATTGGCGAGTGTTAGGAGATTAGAAGCCCAACGAGGCGCGCAGTTCCTCCTCCAAGCTTGGATCCACCGCCGCCGCTGCGTGGGGCTCTGGGTTGGACTTGCGCGCGACACTGTCCAGGAAAGTCTTGACCGAGTTTTTCGCAGGGTCGTACTGCAGTCCCACCTCTTTCAGCTCCTGTACACACTTGGGGCAAGTGCAGGGGCCGAAGCAGTAATCGCGGTAGAGCACCAGCTGTCTTCTGCCCAACCTGGTCGTAGGGTCGATATAGCTAATCACCAGCTCCTCGTCTTTTGCAATGGGTCGAAGTGCGAGTGCAGCGACCTTCATGCTTGCCAAAATGCCACGCTCGGGAACGTGGCGGATCTGGACATTGGGCGCGCACGAGTGGTTGAGGAACGAGTGGACACTGTACAGGCCGCCGAACTTTTCCATGTTGACATTCGCCCGTCCCAGCAGCTTGAGGAACGACGCGTAGGTGAAAAGGTCCTTGATCTGGCCTTTTCGTGTCTTGACGGCGTCGATGAGGTCCAGTTGGACGTGGAATGGGTCCGGGTGGGGGCCAGAGGTGCGTGATTCGGCGTAGGGGTCGAGTGCATTGCACAGCGCCGTGTATGCTTCGGCCAGGATCCCTTCAAACGACGCTTTTTCCGTCGCCCACCCGGGATTGCGGGAGCGGCGCTCAAGCTCCGACACGGTTGCGAACGACGATAGCCGCGCATGCACCGTTTCAAAGTCGCCATACGCCGCGATCAAATCGTCCTGCTCTCGTGATTGCTTTCCCATGCCGTTGTTGTGCGGCGTGAGTGTCGAGAGCAATCTCGCCAACGAGCGAGCGACACAGTGCAGACTCTGCCACTTTTGACTCTGCACGAGCTGCACGAGCGGTTTGGCGGCCGGGTTGAGCCCCGTGCAGAGCAGCGTGTGGTGGGTAGCCATGGCGGTGCGCGCACACGCGCTCGTGCAGAATCGCACCTTGCACTTGCCGCAGTTCTTGATCGCCAGCTGCACGGGCGCCGACGAGACGGGCAGGAAGCACTGCGCGCACAGCTCGCCACTGCTCACCTGATCAAACGCCTCGGGTGGCGGCGTTGCGATATACGCCTCTTCGGTGAATACAAGCTCGCCCTCCGCAAAGCTGCGCGAGGCTACAAGTCCCTTGCCCTTGACCGAGTCAAAGTAGTGCGCACGCACGCCTGCCGGGATCGAAACATTCGCATCGATGAAGGAGCGCGGCACCCCTGCGTCCGTCTTGGACTTTTTCTTCTTCTTGCTGCCCGCCGCGCCAGCCCCCGCCGAAGCTCCGCCCTCAGTGGCAGGGGGTGGGCTGTCGATCAGTGCGTTTTTCGAGAGCACGCTGTGGAAGCGCTTGGCCGAGACGTCGGTCCAGTCGTTCTCGAGCTCGAGCGTCGCCAGCAGCCGTGCGAGCTCGGCATCGGGCACCGTCTTGCCCTGCGAGCCGGTGAGCTTCGCCGTGACAGCCTCGACGATCTGTGCTTCGGATGGCGCCGTCATAGTGTGTCTGCGGTCGTCGGTGGTTGGAGAGCAAGGTGCGTATGTGGAGCTGCACTGTCGCCCGACTCGAAAAAAAAAATCCCGATGCAGCTTTGTGCACTTGTCTCGGATCTTCCAAACGTGGCCTGCCCGCACCTTTTTTTTAATCAGAAGAGCTGGATTCCGATACCCGCAATTCTCCAAGCCCTGCGGCTCACAAAGCTGCTTTAACGCCTCACATCGGCAACAAAGATTCGCACACACCTGCAACGTCTAGGGCCAAAAGAGGTATTGCTACACGGGAGGAGAACATGAAAGAGCACGCGCAAGGGCTTTTGAAAGACTAGCAAGGAGAGAAATCGGATGCGCACTGTTGGTGTCGCGTCCTTACTCCCAACCGGCAGCAGCTTCGGCTTGAACGGTCTTTCCGTCGTCGGCGCCGTCACGAGCCTCGTCGGCAGCAGCGTCGGCAGCCGCCTCGGGCCTGTCCTCGTGCGTGTTCTGCGCGCTCTCGTCGGCATTGCCGTTGGTGTTGCCATCGGCGTTGTCGCGACGCTCGTCGTCGTCTCGGCGGGGCGAGCCTCTCCTGCGCTCTTCCGAGTAGTCGGCGTCGTCGTCGCGGCGCGGTTCGGGCGATCGCTCGCGGCGGAGCGCCGCACGTCTGCGCGCACGCTCCTCGGCGGCGCGGTCGGCCTCCTCCTGCTCCTCCTTGCTCAGCTGGGGACGCGGCGGCGGCAGGTCGGCGGGGGGAGGACCACGGTCGTCGCGCTGGTCGCGTCCACCACCACGTCCACCGTACGCGGGCGGCGGAGGAGGAGGTCCGCGCGAGGGACCGTCGAACCTCCAGTTGGCCGAGGGCGCGTTCTTGGCAAATTGGATCGAGATCTGGTGGCGGCCGAAGGACATGCCGTGCATGTCGCGGAATGCGGCATCCGCATCGCGCGGGTCCTCGTACTCGATGAAGGCGTACGGTGTCGCCGTGGCCGACTTGAGCGCGGGAATGTCGCAGCGGATGAGCGGGCCCATGCGTTCGAACTCGTATGCGAGGTCCTTGGCGCGCATGCTGGGCGGGAAGCCAGCCACGAAGAGCGTTGTGGGAGGTGCACGGTCGCGACCGCCACCGCGGCCACCGCCACGGCCTCCTCGAGGGCCTCGGTCATCGCGCTCGTCGCGCTCGTATCCGCGGTCGTATCCTCGGCCAGACATGATTGGCGCTGTAGTGGGTGCTGTAGATGGCGTTGATCCAGGGGAGAGTGGAGTGTAGCTGCCCGTGCTATGGATTTGTGGGTGACGACAAGTGCGCAGCTGACGAGCTCGGTGAGATGGTGTGGTGGATGGAGGTGGCAATTGCGGAAGCTGCACATCGACTCGTACCTCGCACCTCGGCGGGGCGCGCACTGTGCTTCCGCTCCTCAATCTTCTGCTCTTCTGCCTGTCGCGTTTCGGAAGATTCTCCACAAACCGCGGACGGCGCGCGGCAAAGAGTGTGAATCAAATCCATCTCCACCCTGCCGCTGGTCCAAAGGGGGCCGAATGAATGAGACTCGAAGCCTACTCGAGCGGAGAATCTAACGCCTGGAGAATTTGCTCCTCTGCCACGAAAGGTTGCGGGATGAAAGAGCGGCTGAAATTTTGCGTGATCGACTGCAACCGTGCGCGACTTGGTGATAACCTAACACTCTCCAATTTTTTCGGACGTTCCGAAGATCGAGGCTTTCCGCAACGGCTCTCCCGCAGTTGTTGAAGGTCAAGAGCGCAGTCTCTGTCTCTGTCTCCACTTTGTTGTGGCCTTCCGACATTACATCCATCACCTCTGCATCGGCTGGCGCTCTCTCTCAGCTTGATTCGGTTTCTGTTTCGCTCCCTCTCCGACGCTTCTTGGAGTCACGATCCTCTATTTGCGCCACACAGTCCACACGGCCCATCCGATTTCGTTTGCGCTTCCTTGCCTTCCGACTAGATCGTCCACCATGGCGGACACCGACGGTACGTTTTCCGACACACATGCTCTCCGATGAACCGCCACCCTAGCCACACCAGCCCATCTCAATGTGATCATCCCATTCCGCTGCACTGCACCACGCCACGCGCCGTCTTGCTCCGTCAGCGCGTCCATTCGCTGCTCGGCGGCTGGCGACTCATCCCCAGCTCTGCATCTGCAGTCCAGCTCAGCCACCCTCGTGTTCGCCCGCTCTCCCGCCCCGTCGGCCGCTCCGCGCTCTATCTTCTGTCTAATTCTCCCGCCGTCCGCCGTCCACCTCCGCTCTCCTGCTTACCATCAGACCGACTGACCTGCAACGGCTCGCTCCCTTTGCCGTTCCGACTCAGCAGCACAGCAATGGAATGGCGACGCTGCCCGCGACGCTGCCCGCGAGACCGACAACGCTGCCTGGAACGGCGCTCGCAGCCCTTCGCCCAGGGGCGCAGCTACCCCGCCTCGCCGTGAGCGCGAGCGCTCCCGCTCTCCCATGCGCACCGGCGACGACGACCGTGGCCGGTAAGTCTGCACCTCGTCACCATCCCATCTCGATCGCTCGCTCACCCCCTCTGCAACTCCCGCCGCATTCCCACCACAGCCCCGAGCGCAACACTGGCGACAACAACCCGGGCAACAACCTCCACGTCTCGGGCCTCAGCAAGACCACCACCGAGCGAGACCTCGAGGAGGCCTTCGGCAAGTACGGCGCCGTACGTATCACTCTCCAGCCTCTCACTGCTCGCAGCTGTCGCAGTCACCCGCAACTGACCCTCTTCCCCTTGGCTCCTGCTCCAACAGATTCAGAGAGCGCAGGTCATGTACGACCCTCACACTCGCGAGCCAAGAGGCTTTGCCTTTGTCACCTACGAGAAGGCCGAGGATGCAGAGGCCGCCATCACCGCCATGAACGGCTCCGACTTCCAGGGCCGCAAGATCACTGTCGACAAGGCGCGTCGCGGTCGCGCCCGCACCCCCACCCCAGGCAGGTACTTTGGTCCTCCCAAGAAGGGTCGCATGGACGGTCCTCCTGGCTACGGCGGTGGCGGCGGATATGGCCGTGGTCCTCCGCGCGGTGGATACGGCGATGACCGATACGGTGGCATGCCGCCTCGTGGAGGCGGATACCCGCCCGCCTACCCGCCGCGCGACCCGTACGACCGCTACGGCCCTCCTCCTGGCCGACCCTTTTCGCCACCGCCCATGCGAGGCGACCCGTACGACCGCTATGGTCGCGGCCCGCCCCCCATGCGCGACTACCCTCCGCGCGACCGCGACTATCTGCCGCCTCCCCCGCGCGGCGGTCCGGGCATGGACTACCCGCCCCGTGACTTCCCTCCGCGCGGCCCGCCTGGCGACTACCCCCCGCCGCGCGGATACCGCGACCACTCGCCCCCGCCTCCGCGCGGCGGCAGGTACGACGACCTACCCCCTCCCCCGCCCCGCGCTGGCGGTCCCGGTGGCAGGTATCCAGATGCCCCTCCGCGTCCGCGCTACGACGACGCCGGCCCCCCGCCCCGCCGTTACTAGAAACCAACACACCCCAATCTTGTCATAGTACGCTCCGCTGACTCTTTCACTGAGATAACAAGTGTGCCCTCGTGTATGGACTTGTGTGGCCAATTGACTTTCTGCAATTGCAATGCGAGATGATGCTCAAGACTCGACAAGGTTTGGGGATGGGGAGAAGAGAGTTAGCGCACGCGGATGTGCGCACGCCAGCGTGGCAGCTTGAGCTTGGCCTCATGAATCCACTCTGCATCGTTGTGGCCCAGCGGTCCAAGGGCCGATTCGACGAGCTCGCGCGCGGCCGTTTGGAACGCCTCGCTGGTCTCGAGGCCCTGCGCGGCGCTACCGACGGCGTGCCCGAGCTCCGTGGCGCGCGCCACCTTGATGAGCGACAGCAGCGCAAACAGCGCCGTCCAGAACAGCGTCGAGTCGAGCGGCTCGGCCAGCACCAGCCGCAGCACCGCCGCCAAACAGCCGTGCAGCGCCCCGACCAGCTGCGCCGACGGCGGCGCAAAGTGCACCGACACCACCTTGCAGAACGCCACGATCGACTCGAGCCCCAGCTGCGCCGTCTCGTTCTCGTCCATCTTGATGCACAAAGACAGCGCCTGCACCGCCTTGTCCAGCAGCGACGGCTCGTGCGTGCCGGTGCCCGCAGCGGCAGAGGCTACGAGAATCATGCGGCCCGAAAACAGCCCAAACACCGCCGAAGTCAGTTTGCCCAGTGCCTGGCGCATGCGCGGTACACTGAGTGGCTCAGCAGTGGTCAGCAGGCCGAGCACGTGTTCAAAGCCCATCAGGCACACGTCGCTCGTCTTGGTCGGCTGAAGCTCCGCAGCCTGGTCCGATCCGCCGTCGTCCACGCCCGCGCGTGCCGAGCCCGAGAGCTCGGTCAGCAGCTCCACAAGCAGACACAGGCCTTCGTACGGCACATCGTCGTCCAGCGGCGATCCGGCTTCCGAGGCAAGCAGCAGATGCGTCTTCTTCTTGCCCGCACGGTTCTCGCCCTGCAGCGCCTGCATCAGCTCCCACACCGCCTGGTTGATGCCCATCACAATGAACGGCTCCGCTCCAAAGTCGAGCTCGAGCGACACGCTCAGCGTGTGCAGCACGCGCAGCACCGAGACCGCGATCTCCGGTCGCGTGTCGTACACGCGGCAGAGCTGCGAGAAAGCCGCAAAGAACTTGGAGATGAAGCCGTATACGATCTCGGCCGAGTTGGGCTGGATCGACGAGGCGAGCCCCTCGAGCATGTCGAGCGACGTCTGCACCGCCGAGATCACGTCCGAGCGCTGCGAGATGGCCGCAAAGTCGGCGCGCGAAAGCAAGGCGCCAAAGCGTGCCTCGATCGAAGCGGTGATCTGCTTAAAGTAGAACTCGGCCGATCGCTCCGTCGTCGCTTCCGGGTGCGTCGCACCCGAGTAGATGCAGCCCACCACGGAGGCGATGAGCGCGCCATGCGTGTTTGCGGGGAGATGATCCAGACCCGACACGATCCCCGAAACCAGCTGCTCCATCTCGGCGAGTTGCAGCAGGCAGATCATGATTCCGCTCGACCTGGTGAAGGCAGACAGCACCTGGGCGAGCTGTAGCAACACGTCCGAGTCGGTCATCCACAGCTGCAGATTCTCCGACAGACGCTGAAGCAGGAACGTCAGCGTCTGCCGGCCAGCCTGGTCGCCAAACGCCCTCTGGATAGCGGCGTTGGTGGCAAAGCCAGAGCGTTCGTCGATGAGCAGGTACGACGAGGTCCAGCGGCCTGTGAACCAGAGCAGCGTCTCGGTTACCTGCGGACTGGTGGCTTCAACAGAGGCCGGCCCGAACGCGCTCAGGTGCTGCAGCAGCTGCATGCCGAGTTGCATGATCAAAGCCACCGCCGGGTCCTCGGGCTCGGCACTCGCAGCGATCTCTGCGGGCACTTCGGGCGTCTCGCCGCGCGCATCATCTGCAAGGAGGTGGCCTGCGATGAGAATGAGCCAGTGGAGCTGCTCCCAGGTCTGACCCAGCTCCACATCGGACAGCGTAGACTGGCGCTGGGACTTGGCAATCAGCTTCTCGCACAGAGGTTGCGCGAGTTGGTGAAGGGCGCGCAGATTGTCGGCAACCGACGTTCTGGCGAGATTGGCGATGGTGATGAGCTGATCCGAGTAGACGTCGCGATCCTTGGCGGTCACCTCTTCCACTTCCGACACGTCGTCTTCGCCGTTGACGATCGAAGCCGCCTCGAGACGACCTGTGACGTAAGGAGCGAACACTTGGTCACGGATGCTGCCGTAAACAGCTCTGGCGAATACCTGGACCTCGATGTCCTGGGCGTGGGCAGCATCGTGCTGTCGCAGGGTCGAAGTCAATGTTTGCCAGCATTGCAAGAGGACGTCGACAGTGTCTTCGGTGAGCACCGCCAGATCGTCCTCCTCGTCCGTGTCGGTGGGTCTGTGGAAAGCGAGGCCGAAGATGGCCTTACCGAGAGTGGCGAGCGACGAAATGAAAGAGAAGCAACCTTGCGCACCCGCACCGCTTTGATGGAGCGATGCAGCCAAGATCTGCACCGGAACGACCGAGAAGATGATCTGGAAGGCTTGCGCCAGGAAGAGCATTGCGTTGCCGCGCGCAGACAAGAGCTGTGAGGGGGACGCGCACTCTTCTTCGACCAAGGATTGGAGGGTGGCGCAGATGTGCTTAGTGCGGGAGATGAGCGTAGGCACATGTTGGGGCTTTTGAGCCTGAGGGATGAAGCTGCATGTGGATAAGATGCACTGACGCAGTCGATGAATCGAGAAGGAAATGTCGCGGCTGGCGACGCCGTTTCTCTGCAGGCGCAGTCCGAAGCGGTAGGCTGTGGTGAGGAGGGAGATGACGTCGTCCGAGAGCAAGACGGGCACGAAGGCGTCCGAGACGTACTGCGGACGCAGCGCCTTTTTGCCCTGCGAGGTTACCGTGCCGGACTGTTGCTCGTCGTCTTCGTCGACCCCTGTGGCTAGTACGGAATCGTCTTGCTGAGAGCGCGACTGCTGCTGCCACGCATCCGACGAGAAGGGGTCAAAGCGTGTGAAGGTCCATCCGAGGAGCTTCTCGGTGGTAGAAACGGCCTGGAAGAAGAGTGGATGACGCCAGGAGCTGGATTCTGTTGTTGAAGCGTCCTCGGAGATCGTGTTGTAGAGGAGCTGGAAGACCGCCGTCATGAGTCCTGCCAGCACGTGATTCTGGATGAGCGCCTTGCATTGGCGGTGCTGGAGCAGATTGAGCCCGACAGACGAGCCGGGCGCGACGGGTTTCGATGCTGAGGCTGCATTCTGAGATCGGTTACGGTCGGAGCCGGATGAGGAGTCAAAGACGTCGTTGGCACTGGTGAGGATAGTTTCATCCACAACAGCACGAACGAGACCGAGACCCGTGACGATGCGAGCCAGGGTGGCGGCCGACTCGGTAGGATCTACGGGCCACGGCGACGGCAGCGAGAGGAGGCTTGCGAGCTGCGTGTTGAGGAGGCCGACGTGTGCGTCGATGACGGCGTCAAGGGCCGAGTTGGTTCCCGAGTGCTGGCCGACGTGCTGAGCGAGCTCGAGTCCTAGCAGACGCTTTTCCACAGCGATGGCGGTCTGGAATGCACGAGAGCGGAGGTATTGTGGCCAAGTTGCGGAACCGTCCGATGAAGACGAGGCGGAAGGAGCTGCCGACGACTGCTGGCTTCGGGTGACGCAAAAGTGAAGGAGAAAGTCGCGCAACGAGGTGAGCGAGGCGACGCCTTGGCTGGGCTGATGCGCGCTCAACGAGGGAAGCACGGAGAGCACGGCGTTGAGCGACTGGAACAGCACGAGTGGATCCTGCGAATGCTCCAGAGCAAAGCAGGCGTAGTCGAGCGCACCTTCGGACTGACGCAGGGCGAGGAAGGTGGCTTCGCCTTTGGCACGCAGCTGCGGGTCGGGACTGGTGAAGTCGGCCGAAGCCTGGTGGATCGAGGCCAGAGCCTCTTGCAAGTGAGCGTTTGGCGCGACGAGCGACATGATGACCGTTATGTCAGTCGCCTCTTCCTCTTCCGCCTCGATGCCGCGATGTGAAGAGAAGAGCCGTTGCTGGCGGCAGATCCGATTCGTCACTGGCGTCGACCCTCGAACGTGAGAAGGCCGCTACGACCAGAACGAGTGGAAGCGGAGACGGATGAGCCGATGCCTGTCTTCGTTCCGCTCTCAATCCGCTCTTCCGCACGTCTCCCGCAGCGTTGGTGATGCGGTCCGAGGCGTCGATGTGACTGGTGTGAAATGGAAGAATGTGCCGTTTGGTTGAGCGGGTGCAAGCAAAGCGGCCTTCTCCTCGGCAAAGTCACACCAATCTCGGATTCTTCCTTGCCCGATTTCCGCGCATCTTGGATCGCCACGACAGGGCTTTGAGCTCAGCCTCAAGATCGAGCCAAAAAGATTTTGTTGTGTGTCTCCGTGTGCGAGGCAGGGCGTTCAAGGTGCGGGTGGATGGGCGATTCCCTTCTTGCTTCATCTCCACAAAGCAGATCCTCACCTCTTCCGTGCCTTGCTCGCCAACAACGTGCTTGCAATCGCATTCATCTCATCCATCCGCCCGTCGCTCGTCCAATCTCGTATCTGCGCCCAACCATTGCGGTATCGCGGAAAAGCCGACAGCTGAGCAAGCGCGCTGAGAACTTCGCAACGTCCGCCCGCATCGCACAAGTTTTTGGCTCGGCCTCTCCGATCCACCCATCTTCCTTTCCGTCTCGGATCCTTCGTTCGAGTCTCCTGAGACTTCCGCAGCTCTCTTGAGGCCTTGGGGTGCTTCCGTGCCGCCCACTTCGCCCGTTCTCGGCTGAGCCGTTGAGCTTCTGAGCCGCTGAGCCTTTGAGACGCGACCCCGCCTCTTTGAGCTCGCTTTTCGCTGCTGCCTCGGCATCCGCAGCCAACGCTGCTCCTCCATTGAAGCGCGCAACGTCGCAACTCTCCCACACTTCGCCTCGGTTCGGCCCGGCTCAGCAACTAGCTCCTCGCTGTCTTGAGTCATCATGAACCGCCATCATCCCTACGGTGGCTACGATGAGAGGCCCGCTCGCGGTGGCCGCGGTGTCGGCGGCGGCGCCGCTCCCTCGATGCGCGGAGGCCCTCCCCCTCCTGGACCCGGTGGCATGAGCCCGCCACCTTCAGGCTACCCTTCCGCTCAAGACGCTTACGGCCCCACCGCGGCTGGCGGCAGTGACGCTTCCGCTTCTGCCTATCAGCCTCAGGGTGCGTATTCTGCCTCGAATGAGTTTGCCGGTGGCCCGGATAGACACTACCAGATGCCCATGAGCGCTGGTCCTCAGCGCGGTGGCATGGCGGCACGAGGCGCACACGCTTCTGCTCCGCGTCCTCCCCCTCCCCATGCGTCGCCAGCCTACGGATACACGCCTGCTTCGTTCGACAACGCCCCCTACAACGCCGCGAACGCATACGATCCCTCCGGCGCACCTCCGTCGTCTTATCCCGGTCCGCCGCCGCCCAACCAGCCGCCTTACGGACAGCCGGCGCAAGGCTACCAGCAAGACTACAATGGCCCGCCCAATGGTCCGCCCCCACCGGGTGGCTTTGATGGTCCCAACTATGGTGCGCCTCCCATGCATGGCCAATTCCGTCCAGGCCCTCCATCCGGCCCATACGGCCGCCCTCGCCCTCCCATGCCTCCCGCTGGCGGCAACTTTGGCTTCCGCGGCGGTCGTGGCGGCGGTCGTGGTGGCCGCGGTGGCGGTTTCGGTGGAGGAGGCGGCAGAGGAGGCTTCGACGAAGATGAAAAGCCCTGCCGCACGCTCTTTGTCCGCAGCATCCAGTTCGAGATCGATTCCCAGTTCGTTAAGCGCGAGTTCGAAAAGTTCGGCCAGATCAAGACCTTCTTCGACATGGTCAACAAGCGCGGTATCGCCTTCGTCACCTACTACGACCTCCGATCGGCGCGCGACGCCATGCTCGCCATGAAGGGCGCTCCTTTGGGCGGCCGTCCGATCAACATCCACTACTCGCTTCCCCGCGAGGAGGACAAAGCGCAGCGATGCGATCGCGACAAGAACCAGGGAACCCTCTTTTCCGTTTTGAAGAACGCTCAGCAGGATCTCACAGATGAAGCCATTCGTCAGGCCTTTGCGGAGTTCGGCGATATCAAGAAGATCCGCGACTACCCTGGTCAGAAGAACAGCCGCTTCGTCGAGTACTTTGACAGCCGTGCTTGCCAGCTTGCACACGATCGTCTCAACGGCCAGTCGTTCCTCGACGGCCAGTGGGATCTCAAGTTCGCCTGGGATCTCGTCACCGAAGACGACTTCGAATGGGCTCAGGCCGGCCCACAAGACGCTCAGCCCAGCTGGGGCCAGTCAGCGCCGCCTGCTCACCAGCCTCCTGCACAGCAACCCGGTGCTGGCCCTGGCGGTCTTGGTCATGGACGTGCGCCCGTCCCGCCCACGGGTCCTCCGGTCGACAATGGCTGGGGCAGGCGTGCTGGTTCTGGTTCTGCACCGCCTCCCGCCGCAGCGTCTGCCCAAGTTCCTGGATCGCCACCGCCCGCAGGAGATGCGAACCGCCTGGAACAGGCTCAGAAGGTGCAGCAGCTACTGGCTTCGCTCGGCGCGGCTGCCAAGCCTGCACCTGCTGCGTCCTCGACCCCGCCGGCTCCTGCGGCATCGAGTCCAGGGGCGGCGCACAGCCCACCTCCTGCACCCTCGGCGGCATCCGGCGCTCCGGCTCTGCCTGCCAACATTGCTGCTCTGCTCCAGTCCGCCGCTGGCGCACCTAAGCCCATGCAGCCGCCCAAGCCTCAGTCGCCCCCAGGTGCTGGCGGCTCCGCTGCTGGTCAGGACAATGGACAGCAGTCGATGCAGCAGCTCCTTAGCATGCTCAACCAGAACCGCCCACCTCGCCCATCCTGAGCGCCCTCGCCCCTTCATTTGTACCCGCCCATCCCTCTTCATTTGTGCCAGACGTCGTGTTCCCCTCTCTGTGTACAGCAACTTCATCTCTTCTATTCGGATTGCCAGCGGGACGGAATCACAAATCGTTTCCTCGTATGAACTTCAATGTGCCGCGCCTTTGTAACGATGAAATTTCTTGATGGCGTTGGAGCCGTAACGAGGTGTGAGTTAGAGAGAGGTGCATACCGGCAAGCCGAGACGAGTTGATGGTTCAAGCATGTTCGCGTGTTGCCAATGCTCGGCATTCTCCCGACTCGGTGACGCGGAGATAAGGATTCGGATCGTGCGGGAATGACGTTGGCGATGCTATGAGCACGAAATAATCTCGATCAAAGACAATCAAGTGTGGCAGTAGATGTGTTTTTCGTCGCGGTTGTACTCGCAATGATTGTCGTTGCGCATGACGTAGGCGAGGTTGTCAGAGCCACCGTCGCCCATGAACTCGAAAATGTTGTCGCCAAGCTTGCCGCCGCCGCTCATCCAGAAGCAGTC